AAATACGATGTGTTAGTTGGTCGAGAGAGTCTTAGCCAAGGCTTTGGCGTTAAGATAGACGCTGATAAATTAAAAATTTATAAAACGAAATGGATGAATATGGTAACTTTAACTGATTATGAGGATATTATTAATTCCGATACAGATTTAGTTGATTCCAATAAAATTGCCTTGACAAATATCCTAAAAAACGCTACTCTGATTGGTTTATTAGCGGAATATCAAAAACTCGAGTCACGACAGGGTTGCTGAAAATTAAGTTGATATCAGAGAAGACAGTGCAACGAAGTCCCTATAGGCTTAGCGAGGAAGAAAAGAATCTGGTGCGTTGTAAAATCGATGAGTTGTTAAAGGCAAATATTATTCGACTAAGTTGCTCACCTTTCGCCAGCCCGATGATGTTGGTGTTGTTGATGTTGGAAAATGTCACAGATCGCCTTTGTGTGAACTAAATGATAATACCTTTACCTCTTATCGCAGACCAGATTGCCCGACTTCGCGGTGCAAAATACTTCTCGTGCCTAGATATCGCTAGTGGTTTCTACCAAATTCCAGTACACGATGTTGCAATTGAGCGAACCGCGTTTCTGACTCCAGGGGGTCAGTTCGAGTTTTTGACCATGCCCTTTGCTTTAAAAATGCAACTTCTGTTTTTCAGAGGGCCATAATAAGAGTATGGGAGCTCTGACATACCCATTCGCTGTCGTTTATATTGATGACGTGTTGGTTATAGCCGAAACTAAAGAAGAAGCCTTAGAACGGTTGGATATCGTATGAGAGACATTGAGTAAGGCGGGATTTTCATTTAATGTAACTAAGTGCTCCTTTCCTAAAACTCGCATAGAGTACCTAGGTTTTGAGATAAGTAACGGAGAAATCAGGCCAAACGCACGTGAGGTAAAATCATTGTTAGATTTACCGCCTCCGCAATCTGTGTCGCAATTATGACAATTCATAGGATCGGCTTCATATATTAGACAGTTTGTTCCATAATTCTCGGAAATGCTTAAACCTTTGTATCCACTCACGTCAAAGAAAAATTTTTTTTTGGCAACAGCAACAGGACTAAAATTTACATTATTAACTCAGGCACCATATACGACCCTCAATATACAATAGAATCGCACACCGATGCAAGTTCGATTGGCTATTGTGCTATATTGTTGCATAAAATTATTAATAAACCCCATGCGGTAGAATATTATATTAAATACACATCCCCCGCTGAGTCAAAATATCATTCATACGAGTTAGAAACTCTACGAGTTAACTCTATATACGGATTGCAATTCCTTAAAGGCTAGTCGCACAAAGCTAGACTTAACGCCGAGGGTACATGGGTGGTGGGCATTTTTACAATCATTTGACTTTGACATAGAATCCAGGGGTGATCATATGGTGCATGTAGATTGTTTTCTAGGAATCCAGGGTATGATAAAAATAATGGCCAGAACAAAATTCCAGAAAAACGCATTAATTTGACGAGATAACCTGCAACTGGTTGATTTCTGAACAACAACGTAATCCTGAGGTAGCAAAGAAATTAGCTAAGTTAAAAAAAAAAATGAATTGCCAGAACATCTATTAAAAACCTATGAATTAAGGAAAGGAGTTTAATATAGAAAGATACAACGAAATATATCCCTAGGGCATTTAGATGGGCAGTGATTAATCACGTCCTCAAATCTATTATGCTTTTGGGTTGGGAGAAAACATTAGATAAAGTCTATAGATTTTATTGGTTTGAGCAAGTTCGTAAATTTGATGAAAATTGCATTACTTGCAAAATAGCTAAGCCATCAGTTGGAAAAATTCAATCTGAATTTCATCCGATTCCTAAGGTAGACATATCTTAATAGCAACAGGCACGAGTAGGGCAAACGGCCAGGTAGAGCTTATAATGAGCACATTTAACAGTATGTTGACAGCAGTCGAAACCAGTCAGAGGTCGTGGCACCGCATATCGAGTCACAAATTTCAGTCCATTGGAAATACTAATTGGTAGACAATCTTGACCTCTATGTTTGTTAGAAGAGGTTAATCTAATTGATAGAGAATCAATAAAAAACAAGCCGAGGAAAATATGGCAGTTAATTCGCATAATGATAAGCTTAGATATAATAAGTGTAAGGCAAAGATAATATAATATATTATGTAGGAGACCATTTGTTCCTAAAAAAACGAGGATCGTCACCAAACTAAGCTTGATCCGAAATTTAAAGGTCCGTCCGAAATAATCTAACAACTAAATGGCAATAGATATTTTTAAAATTCTTTAACAAGCACACGCGTTTCTAAGGGCATTTCCAAAAAAAAATTAAGTAAAGAAATTGATGCCGAATTAGATGACTCGGGAGGAGATGCATCTGATTCCCAAATGGGAAACAGAGATAAAGAAGGCATAGCAATTGGCTTGGAATCCCAAGAGGGGATGTAGAGATGTACATCAAGTTAGCAGGGCAACTTTGGAAATAAAATTTTGATTATACCATAATTTGCCGTTAATTTTCGTGAAAGGAAAACATTTTCCGTTTAGTTTTTTACATTAATTTTTTAATGTCCTGCTAAGTTGATATCAAGGTAATTAGTTATATTTCCGTATAACATTTACTGACAGGTGCTACGATGAGGTGTACCGGGAAGAGCCAGGAGAAAAAAGCACTACTGTCGCAAACATGAGGCAGACAGAGTGGCGACCAAGTGATTTTTTTTATTGCAAGTCGCGATCGTAGAGTTTTGTGGTTTCCTCCGAATCCTTAACTCCAAATTTCAGTAGAATTTTGTTGTAAATCTTCACGGATCGCTGAACGCTATTGAACATTTTCTAGAAGTCTTGCTGGCGCCAGCAACTGCGAAGTTGATATATAAGTGAGCCTTTAAAAATTAATATAATTTAAAAATTAATAATAAATATAAACAAGAAAGGAAGCTAACTTCGGCACGCCGAAGTTTATATACCCCTGCAGATAGAACTTCGATGACTAGGAATCCATACAATATTAATTATATTTATTTGTGTTAAACAACAATGAAGTAATACCTGATTTCATTTCATTCACCTATACATATTATATTTGCAGTTTACACCCCAGATTTGCATTTTGCTCTAAATCAAACAATCGTTTGTATGGCACCTATATGATATTGTCGTCCGATTTTCATAAAGTTTGACAAAAAATTTAAGACTAATATAAAATGGCTATACCTCAAATTTGATGAAAATCAGCTGAAAACTGAAAAAGTTATAAATTTAATTGTATTAATTTCTCGATCGTTCCTATGGGAGCTATATGATATAGTCTATAGCTATATATGATCAAATTCTGTTGAAAACTGAAATTGTTATAATTTTTTTTTTTTTAATTATTCGATCATTCCTATGGCAGCTATATGATATAGTCGTCCGATCTGGCCCGTTCCGACATAAATACGAGTGGGAGTATATAGAAGGGTAACTGCAAAATTTCATTCAGATAGCTTCAAAACTGAGAGACTAGTTTGCGTAGAAACGGACAGACGGACAGACGGACATGGCTAGATCGACTTGGTTGTTGATCCTGATCACGAATATAATAAACAGCAAATTCTAACGTAAAAGATTTTGGAAATGTAAAGGATTTAAGGAGTGTCCTGCTAACTTGATATCAACTTAGCAGGGCAACATTGAGTTTTAAAAAATAAAAAAACTGTATAAAAAATTGAGCGACAAATTTAATTCTTTCACGAATAATTAGCGGATAATTAACGGCAAATTCTTAGTAAACAAGTTTTTGGAAATATTAAAGTTTTCAGAAGTTGCCCTGCTAACTTGATATCAACTTAGCAGGGCATTAAAAATTTAGGCAAAAAATTGAACGGAAAATTTTTTCTTTCACGAATAATTAACGGCAAATTATGGTATAATCAAAAATTGTATTTTCCAAAGTTGCCCTGCTGACTTGATGCACATGATGTAGAGATAGCAGATGGACTTGCTGTAGGGGGTCAGTGGTAACCGCACCATAGTATATGGACTTGCTCTGTCGGGGGTCAGTGATGATCGCACTATGACAGAAAGATTTGTTATCGCGGGGATCGGTTGATGGATGTAAGAGTGGCTGCACCTTATAATAGATTTGAAGGAAAAAAGTGCGATGATCGCACTATGACAGAAGGATTTGTTATGGCGGGGATCGGTTGATGGGTGTAAGAGTGGCTGCACTTTATAATAGATGTGAAGAAAAAAAATTTTTAAAGTTTGATTTCATTATTTTAATTTGATGTGAAACCAATTTGATGTTTTGTATAAAAGTTTAATCTTTATATAAATAAAAGTTAACGAAGTGAATGTTTAATAGATTTTGACGTTGACTAAAAGAGCCTTATATTCGATCTAACAGACGAGGACGTGTGATTTGTCTGGAAGTCCGTGTCGTAGGAAAGTAAATTAGCCCATTGTATATTTGCGGTATAATGTGGTTAGTTTGACCATTTTACATGCGTGTACACTTTTGAGTGACGACACGATGTTGTTAACGGGCTAAGGGTTTTCAAAATGCACAGCAGCTGAGGAAAAGAGACATACTCAGCTGCTAAGTAAAGTCTGTTTGAAGGGGCGTAGAAAAGAGATGGAAATATGATTTGTGAAATAGCCTTATAGCTTTGAATTTTGAAATGGCACGGAAGGTTCATGACAAGTTAGATGATGTTGCGCCACCGAAATGAACATTACTTGCTGCGATCATGGAAACGACAGAGTCTTCTCCACATATATATTTACAATTATTTATCAATACAAAATCTAACAAAAATTGTTTTTATTATATTATATTAAATTATATTACATATTACATTATATTATATTATATTATATTATATTATATTATATTATATTATATTATATTATATTATATTATATTATATTATATTATATTATATTATATTATATTATATTATATTATATTATACTATATATTATTATGTATAAAATAAAAGAACATTTTTTTTCCTTTTTATTTCAGCTTCCAGATTTGATAAATAGTTTTTCAGAAAACGGGCTTTTGCCTCTTCAAATGGCACTTGCCGCCAAAAATGTTCAAATTGCTCAGACTCTTGTAAACAATGGATTAGCAAACGTTAACGCAGTTGACATAGAGGTATGAAAAAAAATTAATAGCCATTGCTAAATATTTGGTTTCCAACAGGGGTATACGATGCTTATGAGTGCTTTAAGATCTGGTGATGCGTTTTCAGCTAATTTTTTATTGGATCAAAACTGTCTTCTAGACCTCTCATCCGGGTAAATATATATTTATGTACCAATTTTTTAATACAAATTTAATCCTTTGCAAGAAATTGTTGTATTATTTTACGTTATCTTACGTTATTCTAACAATGTCCGGCTGACTGTCTGTATCTGCTTGAATAGGCATATCTTAATTTATGCTTTCAGCAACTTTTTGTTTAAAAAACAAACTTTATATTTTAACAAGAAAGGAAGCTAAGTTCGGCATTATATATATTTGTGTTAAAAACAATGAAGTAATACCTGCTTTCATTTCATTCACCTATACATATTATATTTGCAGTTTTACATTCACAGATTTGCATTTTTCCTCTACATCAAACGATCGTTTGAATGGCACCTATATGATATAGTCGTCCGATTTTCATGAAATTTTACTCAAAATTTAAGACTAATACAAAATGGCTATACCTCAAATTTGATGAAAATCAGCTGAAAACTGAAAAAGTTATAAATTTAATTGTATTAATTTCTCGATTGTTCCTATGGAAGCTATATGATATAGTAGTCCGATTTTCATAAATTTTATGCAAAATTGTAGAGTATAGTAAAATGGCTATATCTCAAATTTGATCCAATTCTATTGAAAACTGAAAAAGTTAAAATTTTTTTGTAAAAATTTTCCGATCATTCCTATAGAAGCTATATGATATAGTCGTCCGATCCGGCCCGTTCCGACATATATACGAGTGAGAGTATATAGAAGGCTAACTGCAAAGTTTCATTCAGAGAGCTTCAAAACTGAAAGACTAGTTTGCGTAGAAACGGACAGACGGACAGACGGACAGAAGGACAAACGGAGATATACCCTGCAAGGGTATAAAAACTGTAAAACAATATATCAAAATTTTTCATCATTTAACAAGATGACGATTAAAAAAATGCATAAGAGGTCGTGTCTTATGGTATAATCATGACATGGTCGATAAATATTCCATTAATATATGTCGGCATGTAAGCGAAGATTGAACTGAACGGCTAGTATATATTTTTTTTAATCCAAATGAAATGCACACAAATACGCCAAATCAAATGTTCTAATCCAGCCTTTTCCAACGACGTTAACAAAAATATTATCATACATGTCTGATGTGTTAGAAATCTAGTTTTTCTTGATAGTTGAAATTAATAATCGTTGGGTTGTGATACATTTACCAATATGGAATATTGTTACATCATCTAAGGGTTATTGTCGTTCCGTTCGAACTTATTAGGTTAGGCTCATATTATTGCTATGATTGTAGAGGTACCAGATTTTTCCGACGAAACTACCTTGTATAGTTGTATCATGGTCAAAATGCTTAGTTATTATACTATTTGAAAAAAAAATCTAGCGTCGATCCAAGTACGAATATTTAAGTTAAGCGCGATATCTGTTACGCGGTCCGTTCTTCTCTAATTGTAAACATATCGTGCAACATTATAAAACGATACCTTTAACTTTTGCTTATTTATTGTATCACAGTTTCAGATTGACAAGAGTTTTTGCAATTAAAAGTGGTATATTTGTCGGAAATATAGATTGTGTTACGTTTAATTACTCAGATGAACAAAAAAAAAAGTGTGTTATTAAAGAAAAACCTGAGTTGCTAGCCTTATTCAAGTATTCTAGGTCCGTATCTCCCAATTGAAGCTTCTGTAGATGTCCTGTTTGTATGCTTTTCTTGTAAATAACAGACATTTAATTTTTTGATTATTTTTGGAGTCGTTAAGACTCCCTTGACTAAAAGGCAGTAATTTTCCTGTCACTACGAATTATTTTATAAATAAATGTAATGGCTAGCATTGTTTACGGTTTGCTAGAGAGGGTAAGTTAATTCGGTAAAGTCCTACTAAAATAATACGGAAACATTTGGCTTGTATCTCAGTTTAAACTGCTTCGATTAAAATTTAAGAAATTGTTTTAAACCAATTCGAAGCATTTTCTGTGGTCGCCTCATTGGGGTCAATTCCTCCGACTACCGTTTTTTAAATCCAAGTGCAATCTAGCTTTATTTACCATGCACGAAATATCAACGGTAAATTCAAGCGGACGCCCATATAAATAACTAAAGTAATTATTTTTCACGGACTCCAGCTAGTCGCAAATTTGGGAAATACACGAGGGAATTTTATAAGCTTACTTTAATAACCTTTAAAATTAATAAGTTCAGACAGCATATTTTAAAGTTATAAGGATCCTTTTGTAAATCCGACTGGACGGCACCACTCTATATTGAACTCTAAGTTTGACGTCATCAGCTTATATAAGTAATCAAGCGTTTGACAGATACAAATTGTCAACAAAGTATTCCTCGAGCTCCCGTCGAGTTTAAGAATTTGTTGTCTCAATTAATCAAAGTCTCCACACTATTGTTTAAGTAGCTAAGCTACAGTAACACAATAATAATAAAAAGTGTGTCCACCTCTTTAAAAATAAATCAAAGTAAGCATTTTCTTACGTAACTAATAGTTTCGATTCCACGAATTCTGATATCGAGCGCTAGAAATGATTTGGTGTCCGAATGTGTCGCGGATGTGCTCATGCCGCCGGTGATATCCGTTTTGTCACCTGGAGGGTTCCAAATACTGACCTCTTAAAGTCCCGTATTTATAATATATCCGCCCATAACAATGGCATGGCAGATAACAAATCTGCCTTGCTTAAAACCCTTATAGCTGTTCACGAGAAATATGTTTGTTTTGCCGCTCTCTCCTGCTCAAACATCGGATGATGTTATCGCTTTTATCCAAGGCAAAACAAGAGCCGAAATATTAGGATAAAAATTAAAAATTTAAAGAGTTGTGCCGCCTTAAAAATAAAAAATCTAGGCTGTATGCTAAATTTAAATACACCTGTTCTCAATCTGCCCTCAGTGTTATAAAAACTATTGACTCGTCCAGTTCTCTGAGGACCCAAAACAGTTTTATATTTTGTTAACACTAAACGTAAGCCTAAAACAAATCCTTCCCCGTTTTCATTTGAAATAGTACCGAAAATAAGAACCAGGCAATAGTCGATCTATTTTTGATTTTTTTTTTCAAACAACTAGTTCAAACTCTTTCACTTTACATCAGACTTATTCCTACGACTTACCCAAATCGAACTTATTTTCTGTCCTAGCCTAAAAAAAAGATCTCTTCCTTTGGATCTTCATTGTGTTAAGCCATTTTATTCGCCAGGTCCCGACGGAATTCCTGCCGACGACCTGTGCTATCCCCTTCTGATATTGTTCACCTTATCCTTAGAAACCTTCCACTTTTCCATTATTTGGAAGGAATCGTTTATTATTCCTCTCCACAAAAAAGGTAGCAAATTGGATGCCAGCAATTGTAGAGGAATATCTAAGTTGTCGGCTATCCTAAACTGTGTCAACATGGATTTATTAAGCGAAGATCGACAACAACTAACCTTTGGAGCTCTTTTCCTATATTATTAAGGGCTTCCATAATAACTTTTAGACAGATTTAATCAGTATATACTGATTTCAGTAAAGCATTTAACTCTGTTAAATTCCCTTCTTGTTAGGAACTCGATTAATGGGATTCCCAGTTGATTTTCTTAGTTGGATCTTAAGTTATCGGGATGTCACGACGCAAAAGGTCCTCTTTAAGAATAACTTATGTAATGTTCTCAGGTTAACTTCTGGCGTCCCGCAAGGTAGCCATTTGAGACCCATTTGACCTGCCCAAAGCCTTGACTTACGCCAGAGTGCTGCCAGTCGGATTTACAAAGATATCCTAATAATTTACAAACGGTGCCGCATTAACTTATTAAACTTAAACGGCTCTAAATGCAAGCTAATGATATTCCCAAGCTTGTAACTTGTAACACGCAGAACTAGTGCTCTTTGGAAATATTAATTTAGTTTATGATTTGGGTGTCCGATTGGACCCTTAACTTTTCTTTATCAATCATATGTCGTGGGCTTATTGGATTTATTAAACATTGGTCTAAGAATTCAATGCCCACTACATTAAAAAATATTTATAAACTTTATAAGTTCGTCCTATCTTTGAATATAGATCTTGCGTTTGCAGCCTCAGTATGAGGTCTAGATTAAACGCGTAAAATCGGTTCAAAATATTATATATATAATATATATAAATATATTTGTATAATTATGTTAAAAAAATTAAAGGAGGCTACATCTTGTGTAGATAAAAAAAATTGAGAAACCAACTAAGGTTTTTTTTACTTTTCTTAATTGTGTCTGAATATGATTTCTTCACTGCAAGGGTATAAAAAAAACAATAAGTACAGTATGTAAACAAAATCTAATGAAAATTATTTTTTTTGAAATTTATAAAATATGCTCCCATTACAGCTTCTTTTTGGATTAAAATAGCACATAAAAGTCCTCACATTGTGGAGCATGGTAAGGATATAATTAAATATTAGTCTTTACCAATTGAGGAACTTCGGAATAAGTTTGGGAATAGCTAAATAAATTCTGAAATAAGTATATATACTGGAAGAGGCTTAGTTTCATCCAGTCTTAGGCAAAATGTTAGCTTCATTATCTGAGCTTTTAATTGCATCTCTACGGCATGTGAAGTCGCGATAATATATAAAATCAACTGTTTATATTCAAGAGTGTTTTACCTATCAGAAATTCCAAATATTGGTTACTTTTGTAATTGTTAGTCAAATATATATACTTAGAAGTTTGGATGTGGTGCTGATGATCACAAGTTAAATGAATTTCCCAATGCTTTATTTTACAAGTTTATATTTGTGATCGGTGTGAGTAATCGTGAGTCATAGAGAAGGAAAGAAAGCAAATTCTCTGTGTACCAGGTGAGGGTTGAAGCAGTGTGGGATTAGCCCTTACCACACACTCAGCATCGGCCTTCACGTTCCTTGACAGATTCGGCATCCGAATGATCGAGTTCTTAGGGAACATCCTCGGGAATCAAATAAAAAAGGATTAGTGGATAGGTTGCTTACAGTTGTGGAACTGAACTCATAGACTCTGGACATGTCTGGTCTGCGTTAGTTCCTTAGTGCTCAG